TTTTTTTTTTGGTTCTTTTCTGGTACCAGGAATCAAACTCATAACCTTGTGCTTGCCAGGCAGGCGCTGTGCCACTGAGCTAAATCCCCAGCCCCCATTATGGTGTTTCTTCATCTGTCTCAGTCAGTGGATCTGTCACCATATGACTTCTGGCTCTTCCTCAAAGTCAAAATGACCATGGAAGGTAAACATTTCAAATTTATTCTAGACAATAAGGCAGCCATGACAGCATAACTAAAGACACTCATGAAAGATGATTTCCACAACTGCCTCAAAAAGTGGCAAGAATGATGGGATAAGTGTGCTTGAAGGGAGGGGGATTAATGGCAATGTGTCTTTAATTTTTATGTTTACATATTCACCATATTTTTCAAATGAACCACATAAATCAACTAAATGCTTATAAACAAATAGAAAATGCCAATTAAAATAACATTTTAATAGCAACAGAAAACATCTACACCTAGGAATAAATTTACCAGAGATATACAAGACCTCATATCAGAAAGACAAGTCAATAATTGGAAGGACATACCATGTTCATGGTTTGAAAGCCTCAAGTTTGTAATAAAAATTCTCCTAAATTGGTTACAGATTTAACTCCAATAAAAATTCCACAGGTTTATATAATGTATGTATGTTTAAATGAAAAATCATATGCTGCTTCTAAAATTCTTTTCAATAAATTATGGATTAAAATAATATTCATAAAGAAAATAAATAACTGAATAATTATCCCTAATTCACTCCAAAACCTGCTCTTGTAAGTTTCTAAAGAGCTTCCTCTGTAGGGAAATGTGACTGCTGTTCTAAGTTGACAAACACCAAAAATAGAGTTCAGCCTCCAAGTGTAATAAATGAAGTTTAAATTACGAATTTAAAAGGTTAATTTAGTACTATAATAACAAATTAGAAATAATAGAAATGTGGGGCTGGGGATTTAGCTCAGTGGCATAGTGCCTGCCCGGCAAGCGCAAGGTCCTGAGTTCGATTCCCGGCACCGGAAAAACAAAAAAAATAAAGAAATAATAGAAATGGAAGCAGTACATAGTCTCAGCTTTAAAATTTTAACTTTAAAGTTAAAATTTTAACTTTAACTTTCATGCTTTTAAGTGGATAGCTCATTTTTTAGCATTATTTATCAAGTAACTTCACTATGTGTACCAATGGTTCTCATCCTAAATGCCATGATCTTTTGTATGGAACTTTGTAAATTATCTCCTACAAAAGAGAGTAACATTATAGCCATCAAGCTGAGAAGTGCATCTAGTCCTGGATGGTCCATGGAACTACATCAGCATCTCAATGTGACTCATCACAAGAATCATCAAAGAGTAAACAAAAGATCAATAAGCAATCTAAAGAAATATCGCAAAATTCACTCAATGTATTTCACACACTTTACTCATGAGACCTTCAGAACAAACTCAACCTTTTATAAAGAATATAGCCAAGAAGGAATCAGTGTGAGATGCAAAGCCAACAGAGAGAGGCAGAAAAACTACAGCAAAGCTAAGAACGCTAAACATACTTATCTGTGGACACTCAGCACAAGCCACAGGAAGGGCAGCCCACTACCGAAGGTTTTCGAAATATTTAGACTGCAAAGGTGAGCATTTAATAAATGTGTCCCTGAATAACGCAGCATATGTTATGTACAAAGCACAGTGACAGAGTATGACTTCTTTTCTTGTCCTCCAGTCTTCCTGTTCTCCTCAAATATTTTAGTTGAAAGTCAGAGAAGACATATTATACTACTGAAAGATTCCATTTAAAATCATTACAATTTAAATATTTAAAACAGGTATACTTTAGGTTGGAAACTGATTTATATGAAACAACTCCTAAACAATATAGGATTAAGAAATACTATACACCAATGATCTCTGAATTAAAGTTGTTAACTAAGAATTTAAACATTAGCAGTTACCTGTTTCTGATCTTATTTACTAGGTAGAAAAGAAGCTGAGGATTCATTTGAACACATGCAAGAAGTCTAGGTTCTTTGTGTATCATTTATACTAAAGAGCAAAGAAATAAGAAAGAAAAATTCTGCAAGCAAAGAACCAAGGTATCAAAGAGATCAAATCAGGTTAACAGCAACTCTCTTGTTAGAATTATATACTTACATCCTGCAAAAATAACTGTTCCATATATGTAATCTTCTGTTGTGAAAATCACATTTGTTCCACTATTTTCAGAAACAGAAATATTATGGATTTTGATGGCAACATTTTCTCCATCAAGATGGATAAGGGGACAATTTTTACTGCCAATCTGTGCCAATAACACTTTTTCTTGACTTATACAACAAAATGTTATATCTGAGCCTACAAGTACTACGTTGTCTTGAGGAAAAACCTTGGTCTGAGAATCAGGAGTCCCTAGAAAGAACAAAAAGAATTATAAATAAATATTTTAGAAGTGTTCTACAAAAAATATTCGCTGTAATAAGCCCTTTTTTCCCCAAGATGACCTATAAAATAATCCAGCATATACAAAACATACTGTTTGGTGTTTTGAGACAACAGGGGCCGAAATATGAGGTATATTCCTCACGTCCCAAAGAAGCAAGGTACATATAAGAAATAAAATAAAACTGTGTATAATTTATTCACTGAAAAGGGTAATGCTGGGAGGAAAAGGGCCTACAGTTACAGGGTAATGCTTCGTAAGTCTAAGGTTCAAATTCAGTGGGTTTAAATACATGAAGACAAATGCACACCAAGAGAGGCTGTGGTGAGAAGACTGCAAGTTTGAGTCTGACCTGGGCAATTCACTGAGACCCTGTCTCAAAAACCAAAAAAACAAAAAACCCTCAACCCTGCAGATTTGATCCATACGCCACCAGCCCCCCACTATTACACATACTAAATAGGATATTTCATGACCTCTGTTCTTTGCACCTCCCACCCACCTCTTCATTGCAGTCTGGCTTCTACCCATACCATTCTACTACGCTCAATCCAGTGGTCCCTTCTTGGTCACCATTCCTTTGCTTTCTACTGTACTTAGGATGCTGTTTAAAGCTTTCCTCCTCAGAACTCACTTCTTTTTGGGTTCCACAACACTAGACTTTCCTGGGCTGTTAGTCCTCTGACTACTGGCCTTCCCTCTCTCCTATTCCTTAGGAGATATACATGCTCCTAAGGAATGTGCCCTCGGTCTACACTCCCCTTCCAAACTCATGTTAACCTTCAGGATTTAAAAATCTCACATCACATATACCACTCATCTCAACTAGGCCTATTCAGTTGTACCTGCTCACACCTGGACGCCAAACTTACATTTCCAAGTGCCTGTGTGGCTATGCTATCTAAACTCTTCAGTGCCTAAAGCCCAATGATCAAAAACAAATGTTTTCTTTCCCATACAACTTGTTCATACCTTTGTTAGTGTCACTAACCATTCAGCTGCCCACAATAACAGGCACCTTTGGCTCTATTTCTCTCTTGCCAATGGTGTTTTCACATCTTTCCTCCCTTTTCATTTCTAAACCCAAGTATCCTAGCTTACATTTTCACTGACTTTTGCTCAATAGACACAGATTCTTATTTACCTACTTGCTTCCAGCTCTCGCTTGCTCTGATCATTTCTGCACGCTGTCACTAGACCAACTGCCAGTGTTTTTTAGGACATTCTATTGGCAATGTTCTTCTTAACCCTCCTCTACACTGACAGCATTCTTCTTGGATATAAGTTTTGTTTAGTGGACAGATGATTTTTTTGGGTATGTTTAGAGACTTCCATATTCTCTACAATAACTATACGCCTTTAAGTGCTGCCTGCTGTGGCCCAGAAGTTGGGAACTATTTTCTTAAAGTATATCAATTTGATCTCATTTCCAACATCGCATTTTTATATTACTCTTCAGTGCCTATTGTAATGATTTTCATATCGGGATGTTTATCAGCTACTCAGGAAGTCTTTGAAAGTACAGACTCCTGAAGTCCATCTCAGACTTCTTTAATCTAAAGCTCCTGGGATGGCAGAGTTGGAAGCCCCCATGTGGTCGTCATATAGCTCCTGAGATTTCAGAGAACAGAGTGTACACTAAACACTTTTCAGCTCTCCAGTTCATTTGAAACAAAAATTCTTTAAATACAGCTTACAAGAAATGTTCTTCACTGGGCTCCAGTTACTCCACTCTTTGTGACCAGAGAAATGAAGAGAGTCAATATAGCACCTAATTCTCACGTGATGAATGGCACACTCCAAGGGCATGTCTGAGGCCCAACTCCAGTGATGGACTGTATCTCTGCCATTCAGAGTGGTGTTGAAAGTCACCTAAAAAAAAGGCAAAATAAAGTTATATTTCCAAATAGTGATATGCTCCGTTTTCTCTTAAGATCATAAAACCACAAAGGACCATATCACCAAGTAAGCACAAATAAATAAGTAAATGGTCTATTCTTTTGTAAAACTATCTCGGTTTTTTTATAAGGCACATCAGAAAAGTTAGAGTAACAATCATTACACAACTATGTTCACTTCTTAAATGGAAAGCCCTACTGCATTACCATCTAGGATATTGATATTCATTAAAATGATACTACCTAAAAGATCTTCATGTTTTCATGGAGGGAAAATAGTTAATGGGTTTGTATCTCTAAAGTCGAAGAGGGGGCTGGGGATTTAGCTCAGCGGCAAAAGCGACTGCCTGGCAAGCGCAAGGTCGTGAGTTTGGTTCCCGGTACCGGAGAAAAACCAAAAAATAAAAAATAAAAATAAATAAAAATTTAAAAATGTTAATTTACCCAGGATGATTCTTGAAATAAATATTTGGGGCTGGGGATTTAGCTCAGTGGCAAAGCGCCTGCCTGGCAAGCACAAGGTCGTGAGTTCGATTCCTGGTACCGGAAGAAAAACAAACAAGAAAAACCTAAACAAACAAAAAAAAGAAAAAAAAAGTTTTGGGTGCTGGGGATTTAGCTCAGCGGCAAAAGCGCCTGCCTGGCAAGCACAAGGTCGTGAGTTCGGTTCCCGGTACCAGAGAAAAACAAACAAACAAACAAACAAACAAATAAATAGGGGCAGCATTTCAACAAAATAAATTATTTCAGATTGATCTCATTACTACCTATATAATAAATTTAATACAGGCACTCTATATTTTATATTTTCTTTTAAAAGAAAATATCTTATTTCTTAACAATTTACATGCAACTTACAGTGGTATAGGATATTAATCTCAATTGTGAGAAATGGGTAAGACTGCAATCAAATTTTGAAGATCTACTACAAGATACCTTGCGAGTTTCCATTAAAAGACAATATATTAAAGAAATGTATATTTTTCTGTCTTACTCTGAGTAAATAGATTTTTTTAAAGGCATAGAAGCACAAGGACAAAAAACAAGACATGCAGCAACACCACTAAAATTTCAGAAGCTGGAAAGTAAATGGATAATAGCAATTGACTTAGAAGTCCTAAGAAGGGAGAATCTTACATCTCCATTTGGAAAGCAGGAAACCACTTGGTTTGTATCATAGAAGCACCAGAGAGCCTGGGGAATGGCTGCATCACCCTGGAAATGCTGGGTGAAGTGGGGCTCAAAGTGGGAGGATGGCTTGAAGATTGTCTGAAGACACATTAGATCCCCTGCTCACCTTGGCAGAATAGAGACCGTGTTCTGGGACAGTTAAGTAGAGTCCTTCTGGACTTAAGGATCTCAGGAGGAACTGGAAATAGGGTACACCACACCAAAAATAGAGCCTGCTAATCTGGACCTTCTTTCCCTCTTTAGCTCTTATGACACTGGTAATCATATTCAGCATGCATATATTTGGGGGAATAGGAACAGACTAAGATAATTACCTAAATAAAATCAGAAGTTGGCCACTAGACAGCACAGTTATCCAGCAATGAAGTCCCAGTCAACAAGTCCCCTTAAAGCAAACCAAAGTTCCTGTAAGATTTAAGAGCCTCTCATTTAAATATAAGTAGCAACCAAGATGACCAAAAGTATAGAAAGCAACCTAACATAAAAGCCAAAAGCCAAAATAAATAGAAAACATAACTTGAAGAAATACGGTGTAAAGAAAGAAAAGCAATTAAATCACGGGTACCCTCAGACTTAAGAAAAGATAGTCCATTCACGAGACAGGAACAGGATGTACTTAAAAAAGAACAGAGATTCTGTTTTGAAGTTATTTCTTACAAATGAAAAGTATATTAACAGAAACTTAATAATAGGACTGCATGATAAAGTTTAGGAAAAGTTTCTCAAAATCAAAGCAAAAGAAGACAGAAAACAGGAAAGGTAAGATGATGAGAAGACCAGTCTGGAAGATCTACCTCCTGCAGAACAAAAGTTCTAAGAAAAAAGGAGAAACTAGGAAGAAATGAAAGAAAAAAGTTCCTAAGCTGACATACCAGACTGAAAGGGACCTAGTGAGCTTCCAGTGCAAGAGTGAAGATACAGCCAGCCACAAGAAGAAATAATGAACAATGCTTTTAAAATCATAATAAAACCTTCCAACCTATCATTAAATACCTAGTTAAACTAGAAATCACATATTAATACAGAATAAAGGTATTTTCAGAAATGCCATGTCTGAATGTTTTCATCTGGTAGCATCTTACACTTCCAATGGTAATTATGTATATTCTAATTATTCTGCATCTTCACAAAAATAGCAGTTGATAGGTGCTTGATTTTTTTGTCAAATGAATCACATCTGCAAGCTAGGTATTACAGACAGGAGAATGTATCTTAAATAACAAAAGGCTATGAGAATATAGGCTTCCACCAAAACTAAGGAATAAGAATATAGTAATATATGATGTCAATCTATTAGGAGATTTAGGAAAAGATCCATCATAAGAAAAGGGCATAAGGAATACCTCAGATGTTGATGGAGTCCCTTGTATTATTAACTTCCCAGTGAATGAGCTGAACACCACCACAGTCTGTCTTGAGTGGGTTACAGGTAGGCACACATACTAATTCCTTCCAGCACAGGTCTGCTTGTAGAAGCTGAGACTGCTGGGATCCCTGTGACTCCTCTGACCATCAGCTGCTGTGGCTATTATCATGCTGTCTGCTACGTACTATTCGTGTCTAGTGAGCCCTTACATGAGAACGGCTAGGAAACCAGTCAGAAGTCCTCATAAGCACTTATGCACAAAGATAAACTAACAAAATACACAGCATATTTGAAAATTTCAAGAAGATTTATACAACCTGGAAAGAATTTAATGAATTGGTGGAGTTTTTTGTTTGTTTGTGGTTTTTTGGTACCGGGAATCGAACTCAGGATATCACACTTGCCAGGCAGGCACTGCACCAGTGAGCTAAGTCCCTGGCCCTTTAGGAATGAATTGATCAAGCAGAGAAAATTTTAAAAAGAAACAATACATGAAGTTCCATGAAAAAGATAAAGTTGTGAATAGTGTTTATATAACCATACTGCAACAAGTACTGTTTTACCATAAATTATAACTGAACTATGTTAGAAGAACATAGGAAATTGGGAAGGTGGGGACAGCTGGAGAGGTTCTGGGAAAGAGGGAGACTGCAAATGTGAGAGGGCTGGGGGAGTAGACCGAGTTCTCATTGTTCTGTTAAGTGCCTTAAATGTAATAGCAATGACCAAGAGCCTTGGTTTTTAAGCTATTCCAAAATGATAAATTTTATTTTGTGGCAAATTTGACGCTACTATTTTGCAGTAGCAATTCTGACTTATATAACAATATTAACACTATAAATAAAAATGTCACATTTTTCACTGTGGACCTGGAGCAATTTTTCTTCTTCTTCTTTTTTTTTTTTTTGGCTGTTGCTATTTTTTTCCTCACACGAAGATCTCTCCCCCAAATCAGGAAATTGCGATCTTATAACTACCAACTTGGTATGTATCTTGTAGCAATTAGTTATTTGGTTTTAGAGTAATATCTCCTTTCATTTAACTTTTATTTCATTCACACTTGAAAAAGTTCCCCCTTTATTCTAGCACACATGTAGTACCCATCAAACTTTTCATAACTATTACTCATTACTTCTTAGCTTAAAAGAAAATTAAACACAGAGCATAAGAAAATTATTCATAAGCAGGATTTAAAAAATGAAAGCATGTTCTAAACATAAGAACATATTTTAGATTCTGAGAAATTGAGGCTTACTGATTTCTCAAGCATTTGTGGCAGATTATGATGCACTTATTTTGTAGTAGGAAATCTGCTAATTATGGCTAGATATGTTTTAAAACATTTATTCTTATGTACAATGTTGGACAAAGACAAAAAATAGACTAACAGTACACTTTCAATTTGTTTAAGTAAACAGATGCATAATAAAGGCTTCGAAGGAGCACATAAAGGTAATATTTCTTGTGTTTAAGTGACAGAATCTACGCTGCTCTGTAATTTCTTAAACTCCCTTTAATGGTGACACGTGATTTCTGAATCACAGAATATGGTTTTTAATAAACCCTGGAAGATACTTTTATCTACTTCCTTAATAATCATATTCATCGATACCACCCTAAAAATGATGTTTAAAATTACTCAGCTTCTGTAATGTCATAGGAAAAAAAAATCTACTTTCAATGAAACTTACTAATTCTATGAGCTCCATACTATCTTTACGTAGAACTTTGATTTCCCAGATGACATTTGAGTGTTGAGGAAAAATAGAACCCTTGTCATTCCACATTAGGTGTAATGTAGAAGTTGAGAAATCAGCAGACAAATTCAAGATCTCTGGACTTTCTGGAATTAAGGCTTAAGAAAAGGAAACAAAAGAGAAAATTTAGCAACATAAGTAATGATATTTCATACTATACTCTCATTATCAACTATTTTAAAACTACTTCTTCATGATCAAAAATAATCAAGAATTCATATCAAACTCTCAAACTTGTTACTAAAAAGGAAAGAACAAATATATTTTTATTTGTATGGGTAGCTCCCAATGATTAATTAGGCAAACTAGAAAGAAATCATTGGCTGGCTGCTTGAAATTTATAATACATTTTCTAATACAAAAAGTAACTAGTTCCTGCAAAACTCTACAGTCACCTGGTCTGGACCTACAATTAGGCAACAAAACAACCCTTCATAAGGCAGTAAGTCAAACCTAAGAAAATGATGACGCATGGAAAGCTCACTTGGGGAAAGGTTTCTGTGTGTTTTCTAAGAGCCTTCTCACTCATCTCCCAGGTCTGGCCCCTCATGCTAGGGGATGCTACTCACTTGAGGAATTTTATGTGCTATGTCTGGTGACAGACATAATTAAAGAGAAGCAAAAGTAATACTAAGACACTGTGTTAGGAGGCCAAGATATTACCATGTGGAAGTACAGTATAAAAGAAAAACTTCAGAAGGGCTAGTTTAGTAATGGTTGGCCACACAGCCTGAAGAGGAGTGAGGCAGGAGCTCAGGTTATCAGTTAAGGACTGCTGGAGAAATCCTGTGTAGAATAATACTACTACTACTACTACTACTACTACTACTACCACTACCACTACCACTACCACTACCACTACCACTACCACTACCACTACTACTACTACTACTACTACTACTACTACTACTACGGAGTATGATATCAAATACAGAAAAAAGTATGTTGTACACTTCAAAGAAATGATTAAATCAGACAAAGGAAGAATTTACCCCATGAGAAATAATCATGACCTCTCTAAGCTCAGAAAGCAGCAGGAAAGGAAGAAGGAATGAGGAGCTAGTGTGAAGATACAGAAGACTGGTGGCGCTGAGGAGGCATTCAGAAAGTAAAGGCACAGAGTGCAGTGTCCTGAAGATATCTGTGTAGAACCGTCAGGAGCAGAACCAGGGCTGCAGACTCAGAGGAACTTGCTGCATGTAGCTGAAGAAAAGAATGTGAATATACAGACAAAGCTGTCAACACACAATTACACCTTCAAGGAACACACACACACACACACACACACACACACACACACACACACAGAGCAAGATCTAGAGCAGGAATGATCAAGGAACAGAAAGGAACCAGAGAAAAGTCTAAGGTCACTGAGCTAGAAAGGAACAGACTGTCATTTGGGCCAAAGACATTAAGTCTCCGACTGACCAACATTTGAGGTGCAAACTTTCCCAGGTATAATATATTAATTCACTCCCTTTGTCAGTTTCCCAATGAATCTGACTTAAAAACAATTTTTGGGAAATGGAACTTGTTCCTAAGTTGGGGACTTACTGTATAACAAAGATGATGGAGGAGGACCAAGAAAAGACCACCTACAGGGATGATAGCATTGTACCACCAGGAATTTGCAAAAGAAGTTTGAGAGGGTTGTAAACTCAGAAGGTGAATTAACAAAAAAAGCAGAGAAAAACCACGCTCAAAAGTTTAGGCTTATACAGAAAAACCAGTACACTAAAATGAGGTCAGAGAAAGAGGAATGTATCCTCGAGAATGTCCTGATCTTCCTATCCGCTAAGGACTAGTAAATCACTGAAAATTTCGGATGAGTGGAAAACAAGATGAGTGTGCCTGTTCTATGAAACACAGGCTCTCAGCTATAAGGGACAGAGAAACTTGGATTCTCCTGCATGTTTTCTGCTCAGAGGACAGTAAAGTAAAAGAAAGAGACATACAGAGACTCACCCCTTCTTGCCTCACTTCTAGTTAATCCGTATGAAGTTCAAGGGCCAGTTAAAGCCATGACAAACTATAGGAGTGTGCCAGGGCAGGGTCGCTGCAGTGCTGAACATTAAGGACAACAGAAGAAACCACTATAAATTAATCAGTTGCAGTGTGGGAACTTGAAACTGAACTCTTACAAATAATTTTACTAAAATTTTTCAAGTGCAATATTCTACCCTGGATTTGCATAAACTGCTTAGGGCTGTACAGGACCTAGAACATGTAGATTTCAATCTAAACTATACAACTGGGTCCAAGTACAGCTACACATGGGTAGGAGAGGATGCTTCACAGAAGTCTTAAGTGAGAAGTTGCTTATGAAAAAAGAAAAGTGTAACAAATGAGAAGCAAGCAGCTGAGTTAGTGCCAGGAGAGGGAGTGTTCAGGTGCCAGTGTAACCAGAGAGGAGCAGGAGGCTTCCAACAGTGTGATTGCTCCTCCAAATGATTCAAGATGTCACAGTGCACTAACCTAAACATGAAACCTGGGAATACCGAACTGATACACTAATCCACTAAAATGCCGCCCCCCAATCCACATAATTTACATTCTCACATTTTAGTAGAAAAGAAGGGTCATGTTCAATAGTTTAAGGAAAAGACAGTAATACTCATGTTGACAAATGAAAGGATTTTTAAAATCCTTTCAAAAGAAACTTTTTCTTTATAGCAGACATGGAAGTTTCCCCTAAGTTCCCATGAACTGTCATCTGTTTTTCCTCTGGGCTAAAACAGACATCTGAGGACAATTTTAACTTGCTTTCTAGAAACTCAAAACTTTTTAGACAGGAAGGAATTTAATGAAAATCTTGCTTTTTTTTTTCAAAAGCGAGGACAGCTTACTCATAAGCTACATGCTCTTTCTTCTTTAGAACATCAGGAGATGTGAGTCTTTCTAGCTTTTGTCTTTTGTTTTTTTTCTTTTGATTCACATGATTTATCCTGCCACAGAATGATCTGAATTTTAAGGTTATTTTAAGAAACTGAGACGACAAAATATCACAAAGACTTTTTGAATATGCGTGTGCTTTCCCTTAAGTATAAAGTTTGTGTGTGTGTGTGTGTGTGTGTGTAAGACCTTTTTGCTTTATCAGTATACTTTTGAAACTGTCTTCAGACCTGGAGAACACTTCATTTCTCATACTTTCACTTAGTAACAAGTTATCCATGAGCCCATATCATCTGATGCACAGATGTGAAGAAAGAGAAGTGTAACAAATGAGAAGCAAGCAGCTGAGTTTATACCATTTCAGAGTTTCTGCTGCATTCAATAGGTGGTCAGAGATTTGCTGGTGTACTGTTATGATCTGAATGTTTGTGTCCCCTCATGCACCCACCTCAAGCTCCTATGCTGAAACTTACCCACCAAGGTGATGGTATTACAAAGTACAAACTCTGGGAGTTGACTGGGTCAGGAGGGCTCTGCCCTCCCAAGTAGGATTTGTGCCCTTATAAAAGAGGACCGAGGAAGCTTTTTCTTACCCCTCTGCCACCTAAAGGTACTATCTATGAGCAAGAGGCCATCACCACACACCAAATCTGCCAATGCCTTGTTCTTGGACTTTCCAGTCTCCAGATCTATATGGTATAAATTTCTATTACTTACTCATTACTCAATCTAACATATTTTGTTATATAAGTCCAAAAAGATCAAGACATGTACAACTTCCCTATCTTACATTCACCTAATCTGCTTTTATATTTTCTTATCCCAATACCATTTGTGTAATCGCCTCTGGTACCCCTATTATTTAAAATGTTACTGGTAAGTCACACGACTATTATAAAAATGAATTATGACTCGACTGCATCTGTCTTGATTTTCTTTTCTAACTTTCTAACATTGTCACTGGCAAGCAGCTTCCTAGTTGAGAACACTGCATAGCTATTGAAACAATCAGATATCACAAGCTGACTCTCTTACACACTCATGGGTATTCTAAAAGCTTAGAATAAAATTTAGATTCCTCATACTTTACTACAAAATAATTCCAGATGGAAGAGACATTTAAATCAAAATGATAGCAAACCAAAAACTCACAAAGAAAAACAGCTAGATATCCTATTATATTACAATGAAAACATGTACCATGAAAAACACCATGTTTTAAAAAACAAACTCAGAAAGATATCTGCAGCAAATATGATAATAAAAATAATATAGGAAAAGCTCTTGTGAATGAAGAAAATGATGAATAACAGAAAACTCAAGAAAGATATGAATTGGTAGTTCAAAAAGAACACAACTGATACATTCTTTAACAATTATAACAAATGAAAAAGCAACATTAATCTAATGTGGGAGCCATTCAATTTAAATGGCAAAAATTAAAGATATGGATATGACCCAGTCCTTGTAATGATATGTAAAAAGAAGCTCATCAACATGATGTCTGTGGGAATGCAAAGAAGTACAAAGATTTTGACCAACAGTTTGGAGAATGGATATAAAAGTCTTTAAAGGGGGGGACTGTCTTTAATCCAGTATTCCCAATTCTAAGAATTTAACAAGTGAATCAGCCAAGTTCACAAATATGTAAGTGCAAAAGACGTTCATTAAAACATTGATTATAATGCTGATAAGTTGGCAATAAAAACAAATAGCTAATAATAGAGCTCTTTAATTATGCTCTACTTGATAGAATACTGTCCTGCCATTAAACATAGCATAGGTTTATATACTAAGAGAACTTGAAAATCCATCTATTACACATTTTATGTTAAGCAAGCTATAAAGTAATATACTTTTGTATTATTTTTACGTGTACATGCATAGAAAATCTACTTAAGGCTTAACAGTATGAGTACTGGGGGGATGGTTAATCTTTATAAAATTTCTCACATGAACTTCAGAAATATTAAAAAAAAATAACAAACACGGCCATATGTATTATCCTGAAAGACAGTCCTAAGCAGCACTTTACATAGGCAACACTTTAGGCTAAGAAAGGAAGGACAATATATATATTTAAAAATCTGTGCTATCTCTGATGCAGATCATTCCAAGTATTCACCTATTGCATTAAATTGGGCAAATCACTAATTATATTTGTGTTCCCTAGATTCAGAGTCAGCCAATCTTATAAGATTCATTATATATTACTGTGCTGCCATACCAACAGGGCTGTCAGCAGCTGACAAACCCACTGCCCACTACTAGCAGTCAAAACCACTCAGGCTTTTAAAGTCTCACTGCACAGCAAAATTTCTGTCAATGTGAGTTTGTTTTGTGCTTGCAATCTGCTTGTAGTCTATCTCCTAAATATTCATTCAATCAATAAATACATGCTATCTGCACAACACTGCGCTAGGTGCTCTGCGTAGATAACAAAGTCCCTGCTCTCATGGGACCTATTTTGCGGTGGAGGAGATACAAGGTAAATACCTAACTACACAGTGGATTATTAATTTAACTGAAAGCAATGCCAGGAAGGAGCACTGCATACCTAAGGGTATGCAAAGAAAGGAGTGGGATCACGAGTCTCGTCACAGAGTACATCCCAGAGCAAAGGGCATCTGTGAAATAGGAACCAAAGAGGTAAAGGGAGCCAAGGAAAGAGCATGGAACCGAGGAGAAGTCCTTGAACTCTGAGGTGTCTATTGCGATTGGCTAGATGACAAGCTTGCTTTCTTCTGGATCCTGGCCACGCTCTCTAATGCACAGCAAGGTAGTGGGTGAATGAGAAGTACCAGCACAAGAAGTGAAATGCAAACACAGGTTTCTCTCAACTATAAAGTATCACAATGCTAACAGTGTTCTATTTTAAAATCTGTTTTCTTTTCAAATACTTACAAACATTTTTTTCATTCAGTATGAATGTACTTATAGAACTTTCAAAATCATGTAGAGAATTTATTGTTATTTCATGATCACCAGGTGAAAGAGCTGGGATTTTAATATTTGCTTTCTCTAACTGATGACAAGAATGGGACCTGCGATAAAAGAAATACAATTTTAATTAGAAATAAAATATAATTTTAATTTCATAAATATCAGTAGTGCTATTTTCATAAAAACTTGATCAACACAAAGTACATGGAAAATACCTTATACTCTTTTTGTATACAAAAACATGCAGGGTTGTACTGCATTTTAAACTGAAAAAAAAACAAAGGTTAACAGTAATTTTATCAGTGTGGCATTAGGAAAAATATGCTAGTGTCTTGTTACTTTTCCCTCGCTGCTGAGACAAAATACCCAATGCCCAATTTGTGGAGGTTTTAGCCCATTTTCGGCTGGCTCCAAGCAGAGCAGCACACGGCAGAGGGCAACAGTTCAGGGCAGCGGAAGATAGCAAAACAACAAAAGCAAAAAGGGAGGAGGCAGCAAGCAGCCTCTTTCCCTCCTTACATTGTATGCAAACTACCCACCCCAAGGCTGGTGTAGCTCTCACACCCATAATCCCAGCATAGGAGCAAGGATCAATCAAAAACTCTAGAAGGCTGCCCCACGACTGCACGAGGCTTTGAGGGGACATCCAGACACAAACCATAACAGCAAGTTGTAGCAAAAAACACAGTAAATAAGCATAAACAATCCCTTCAAGAAATTTGGGGTTTTAGCACGCCTTGCAAAGCCCCCCTCCACATTACCTGCCTGGCCTTGCCTCCCACCCAATCCAATTCCTCAGCACCAAGCTACAGACTAGGCCATTACCTAGACTCTCAGATTAGCTGGATCTCACTGGCAGCCAGTGAAAAGAATGAAAGTGGCGGTAGTCGGCCTGTCAAACATGCATACAACCTGCTCACTCTTCTGCCCTGGCTTTAACAAAATTTTTTTCTATGTTTTGTTTTCAAAAGGCTTCCCGTTTCCTACTGAATATCTCTTAGATGTCCCTGGTTCTGCAGTCCTTTGTATCTCCTGGGAGCACAATTATGTTTTTTTTATTGTTATTCTAACATATCTAACTTCTCATGGAAATTTTAATTAATGCAAAGGTAGCATCTTTTTTATGCAGTGGACTTTCCTCAGCACCCACTTCAGCTAGGGATCTGACCTCTGCCTACCTCCTCCTTAACCTCATGTGGTAAGATTTTTTAGGCACCACAATCCCAAACTAGCCAAATTCTCCAAATGACATCATTTCATCTGTTTAAGCCACTGCACCTAATACTCATTTAGGGTGGACTGTCCTTTAGTTCTTTTTTTGTGGAGAACTGAGCATGTCTCCTCACGTCGTACCTCTTCCAATGGTCCCTCTAGACCTCCACACTCCTTGGTTCCCCTTCCTTACATTTTGCAAAAAACTTTCAACTGCATGTAACCCATAGGGTTGCTACTATTCACTGCAAACCCATGAGAACAGAACTAACCCACTTAGTGTGGCCTGAAGCTAGCATTCATACTATCTGTCAAACTTTTTAGGATCTTTCCCTCTGGACTCACAGTAGGACTCTCCTCTGCCCCTCTGAAGCAAGGCATGGTCACTGGCTTTACCTAACCAGAGAAATCTGAGTAAAAAATTCTCATCTATCAGTTCAGGAAGGGTCGTCTAAAAGCCAATGCACGCTGTGTGCCTTGTCTTTCCCCTGATACCAAAATTGTAATCCGTGGGGCCTTTAGAAAGAAACCCCGGATAGAAATCTCAGCTAACACCTGACAGACACAGAACATAGTAAGAAATAAACTTTCTTCTCATGAGCAAGATATAGTGAATTAATATTTTAAGGCTATTTCTGCAACATAACCTGGCCCATTATGACAAATTATTCCAAGGCTTGGAGGGATTTTCAATAAATACACACTAAATGGGAAAAATCTAATTGTATGTAAATAAACACTGACACTGACTTACATCAGAACTACTCATTAGGAAACTGTAACTGAGGGAAGCACATGAGCACACGAGGACTCCTCCGGTGCTGCTAAGCATCCCAGGATCCCATTGAGATTAGGGAGAGCAATGGACATTGTTGAGGTGTGCAGATGGCCAAAAGCCGCTCTAAGCACAAGAGCTTCCAGCACACTCCAAGATTACTGTAGAGGATAAAGTGATATGAAAAGGCTTGCCCTTGCCATGGCCTCGCAGTGTCTATCTTCTTCACATCATGGACCAATCCATTTCTGTAATATCACCAACCCACTGAGAGAAGAACTTATTTCCCACTTCTATAACTAGGTTCAGCCATCTGACTGGCCTCTGGCCAATGAGATGTAACAGTGGTGTTCTGTGGGACTTTTTAAGGTTTCCTCAAAGAAAATCATCCCTCTTTGTTATGGCTTGCATCTAGATGTCCTCCCAAAGCCTCAAGCAGTCATGGGTGGGCTTTTTTTAGAGGTGGTTGGGTCCAGGGTGTGTGCTGCTGGAATCAAGGATGTGATGATGGGACTGATTCAATGTGTGATGCTAGGATTAATGCTGCCCTAGCCTGGGTAAGAATGCACCCTCCCTAAGAGTGGGAAGTCTGGATAGGAGATAGGGGACAGGAAAAGGGTTCCTGCTTGCCACTTGCTGCTTGGCTCCTTCAATATTTTGCTGCCTTCTGCTCATCAGGAATTGTTTCTCCTCTGGGTTGTCCTTCTGCCATGCCACGCTGCCTTGAAGCCAGCTGACTATGAACTGCAATCTCTAGGAACTGTGAACTAAATAAAGCTTTCCTCCTTTAACTCTGGATGTTGGATATTTTCTCACAGCAATGAGAAAGGTAACCGAGACACTCTTTTTCTTGCTTTCTTCCTGCAGTGAAGACATGATAGTTGCTTCTCAAGCATCATCGACTCAAAAATGAGATCACAGGGTAAAGAGACCAAGTAGTGTGACAAAGAGGCCCTGGGTCTCTGTGACCACAAAGCCGTAACAAATACACCAGCCCCGAACTGCTTACCATAGATTTTCCATGAGAGTCAATGCCTATGTGCTGAGCCATTGTTACTGACATTTTCTATCCGATATCTAAACCTGCTATAGACAGTGGTTTGGGAGAGACCAGTGAAACTGCCACAGAAGATCATAACTGCAGGTATGCTCCACAATCTTCACGTATAATGAAAGAAACAAACTTTTGGCTATGATAAGGATTTGTTTCTACTTTGATTGATAATAGTTCAGAATTAAACTTTCATTTAAAAATTTCTGTAATAAAATTGTTATATTCTAAGAAGAAAGATAACTTCTAGTCTATAGGTATAAATAAATTCAACATTTCTATTACCTGTCGTCAATGCAAACTTGATAAATGGTGCCATGGCCTGTTCCTAGGGGTGCTTTCCAGGAACAGTCCCATATCTGTAAATTGTCCGTTGTGCACTTCAAATCACGAGGTGTCCCTGGAGAAAGAAAGACAACACACGAACACACACACAACACAGAACATACTCAGTGCTGGTTAAATGTTTTCGGTTGTAAGCACAAACACAGCGACTGCAGAGGCTCACGTCCTCTAGGAAGAGGTGACCCTGCTGTCATGGGAAAGTACTGCTCTTATATTTCTTTCTGTAGCTTTGTTTGTTTGAAAAAGCTAAATAGTAAAAAATGAATGTGGGCCAACTACAAGACTACTCTGAGATCAGACTGGTCAAAAGAATCCTCCTTGCAGGTAACTAAGAGAATTGAGGAAGAACCTGAATGTGCAGATTCAGAGGTAGGGGGAGTTCTAGCACACCATGAGTCTCCAAGAGCCTCAGTTGCAAAGGAAAAAAAAAGTAAGTAAAACCTCAGTGAACACTATGTGGTTCCCTTGTCCACCAGTAAAGCTAGCAAGTATACCCAGCCATGGCTGCTCTGCCAGACTGCCGCCCTCTACAGGAATACCAAAACCAACGTCTGAACTTTTGAGAAGCAAGTAAAATTTAAGCAATAATGAATTCACATGAGTCTCTGAAAAACATGAGGGGGTTCCGAAACAACTGAAGAGCAACAGGTAACTCAGAAAATTATACTCCTAATAGTTCTTATGTCTATACAATAACATTTTATTATGGAATACGTGAGCACTATAAAGTGAAGAAAGTCACCCTGTAAGGAAAATGAAAAGAAAGGACAATGAAGAGGGAAAGCAGAAAGAAAAGGAGAGAAGGGGGGAGGGAAAGGACGCAGAAACTGCAGGGTAAAAAGAGTATTCTCAAACTCTACAAATGTCTATCAAAAGTTTCTTTCTTATTATTTTCATACATAGTTGGCATGATACTCACTGTAGCAATAAATTATAAAGCTATTTATACAAGCAAGAAAACAGAACCATGTAAGTGCTCACATTACAAATCAGCAGTAATCCTAATAATAAAGTTATTTATTCAATGACCTGGGGGAAAAGAGATGTGTTTAACTATAGATATAGTATAAAAATAAAACAACAGGGTAGCAGAATAATAATGGTCTTCATAGAAATATGCTAGGCAATGTCTATTAGCCAGGTAACATTCTTATTAAATTTAAAGGATGATATATTTTAATATATAATAACAGCATTATAAAGTATATTAAGATTTCAATTATGTTACATTCTAAAAAAGTAAAATTAGAGAAAACGGAACAGTGCCGACTATAGGGATTGGGGGGCGGGGAGCAGACACCAGAGGCATGTGGAGAATTTTCTGGTGGATGGGCCTGTGCCCTATCTTGGTGGTATTGGTGGCTGTGACTGTGTATACTGTCAAAACTCACAAACTTGTATCCTAGAAGAATATTGTATCATGTAAATTATACCTTAATTTTTTAATGATAGAAGAATATTTTGATCTATCTTTAAAGGTCTTTTCAAAAGAAACTAAACCAAAAGAGACTGGAGAGAAATGGATTTTAACCACTAAAACTATGGAGGGATAGAGAAGACTTCTTTTCTACAGGCAAAATGGAAGCAAAATTGCTGGTGTTCTGTAAGACTTATGTACTTACCCTTTCTCTGGCTGTTTACTTGACTGAGTAGACACAGAAGAATAAATGTTGCTAAGAGCCACTGGAAATTTGCAGGCAGCCTCATTCTCTTCCTGCCTACCATCCAGGATGGCTGTCTCCAACATAAGAAAACATTCATCTTCTAGGCAATGCAGTCAGTCCTAGGTCAGAAGAGGGATTTCACATGATGCTCAAACTCATCAAAGGACACATCTCACACTGCATACAGAAACACTGAAAATGTGCTGGCAGATGTGAAAATACACTGAACATTTACGACTGAGGAAGCCAGGCATGGTTCATGTCTGTAATCCCAGCACTCAGGAGGCTGAGGCAGGAAGATTCTTGTGAGTTTGAGACAAGCCTGGGCTACCAAGTGAGCTTAAGGCCAGCCTGAACTGCAAAGTGAGACCCTGCCTCAAAAAAAAAAAAAAAAAAAAGACTGAGGAGACTCAAATTTAGGTGACATCAACAACTGGGCATAGCTGTTGCTGTGAGAGCCACCATCATGTTAATTGTCACACGATGGACTTCAAGTTAATATTATGACTGAGCACATACTTGTCAACTCTGCTCAAATACAGAGAAACACAGAAAAACACAGTTCATATACAATTAAAGTTTCGATGTTTTAAAATAATATGTGAACTGATCTTTTTAATATTAATTATTTGGATTTCACCTACATCACTTATTGTGTGACTCCAACACATGCCGTGGCATTTACCGCTCTGTGCCTCAGCTTTCTCATGTGCAAAGTGAGGATGGCAACGGTGTTTTCCTCTCAAGTTTACGATGAGGATCAAGTGACTGCACACATGTGAAGTACCTGGAAGAGTGCCAGTACATGGTTGGAGTTACATGCTATCGTGTGTACTGTGTGAGGTACGAGGACAAAAAAGGAAGCAACAAGGGCCACTATGTATGGGCCAAACAGTGATGGTAGATGGGTGGTGCCATTTAAATCCTCCCTGGGTGCAGGAAGAAGAGAGCAGTGAGATACCAGGGTGAAACTAAAAGAGTCAAAGATCTATGTACAGACATCAACTTTGATGTGTTTCTGTTCTCCATTCCCTACAGAATTTAAAGAAAAAAACTGCCTAAGGAAAACCAGCACAGACATGGGAGCTTTCCCTATCGGATATCTGGGGATTCCCCAGAGGAAAGCCTTCCTAGAGTGACATCTGACAGCTGCCAAGTTCTTCTAATGCACTCACTTCTTATTCAACTTCCTTTTGCTTTATTTTATACTGACATAGAAAACCAAGGATCACAAAACATACAAGCAAAGCCTAAAATGTTGAAGAGAAACTCAGGATAAAAAGGATTACCAAAAAGGAAATAAAAATCCCTCCTGGAAGAAACAGGAATAATGTAGCAAATAGGAAAACTTAAAGAAAAAAGAAAACAAAAAGGCAAAAACCTCTAATTGTATCCTCAGACCAAATACAGTTCAATATAAAAACAACAATACGCAATGAAAAAGGAATAAAAATAGCTCTTAAAAGTTAACTATATTGACTGATATTAAATTTTAAAATAAATAAAATATTGAACAATCTTTCAAAGTAAACAAAAATATCAAATGTGAGAAGACAAATGAGAAACAGACTTAAAAAAGGAAGTGAGATCTACTGTCTCGGTAATTGGAATCTCAGGAAAGAACTTTTAAAATAAACTTCTTAGTGAAAGCAAAAGGATCATTCTTCTCTTGCCTATTGTTAAACACTGTGAAAACCCCAGTAAAGGAAGTCCAAATAGCTCTATTATAACCAAGACACAGACAAAGCAGAAGCACACATTTCAAATGTGTTACTTTCTGGGTGAATAAACAACCTCCTAGTCAAGGCTGCTATCACCAAGCTTACTTATTAGAATGAAAATGCATTCATGGAGTGTCTTAAAGTATCAGTTACTAAAGTTACAGAATCACACAGTATACAGAATAACTAATTAAAGGGGAAAATCATGACGCCAAAAGTCAAACCCTGACCAAAGTAATCACAAACTACCCTCACTAAGTGGCTAACCATTACCTTGAAATGCGACCACCCCTCACTATTGGCTTACAGTTAGCCTAGGAAACTCTCGCACTACTGGAATGCCTGGAAGAAGTGGCAAGAGGGGGCAGGAGTGAGGCAGCTGAGGAGGATCTCAGGACCAGATGCTGTCAGACTGAGACTTTAATCTTGGCTCCATTACTAATTAGCAGCATGACTGAGGGTAAATCACTTAATCCCTTTCCGCTTGAGCTTCCATCACTGCACATAGGGCAAATGCTATTCAAGATCCACATAGGAACTTCCCAAGTTCAGCTGTAATGTTCCACTGCTGTTGGCAAAAACAAGCATGCAGGTGGTAGCAAGCCAGCACATACCTAGCTGCAGCAAAAGCCACCTTGCAAGGACTACCAGAGGTCAGTGCGCCCTCAGAGGGGTGTTCAGGTATACCGGGAACCACAGTGTCACCAACGCCTGTTCAACTCCCACAGACAGGATAATAAAGAAGACTCCCTTTGGTTATAACATGTACTCAGAAAATTTTGATCAAGTAATTTGGGCTATATCATATTATGCTTATATCTGGCTACCCTACCAAAACAAACTTTTAGATGGACTCACTTGAGGGTCTGCACAATACATGAACAGAACTTTCCAATGTATTTTAGGGGAAAAAAGAATGCTTGGAAAACTGCTCTCTGCTAACAGAAACAGCGTCAGACTTTATTTAGAATTTTTTTCCAACCAATGCCCCATAGGAGCAAATTTGTACACAGTTTCAGCAGATAACTTTCAAAATGTAGATAGCTGTCTTTCAACAGAGCAACTGTGTGCCAATGCTAATCCCTGGTGGGGCAAAAGGAATACTGAGCCATCCAGGCAGGTGCACACTGAAGTCCCCTACAGTCTCAAGGTGGCAGCTGCTAGCTAGTCTCATTCTGTCAAATTGTGATTTTTCAAAAGAAGCTAAAATTCTGAGACTTTTCTAATACTCAAATTTGTAAATGTCAGCAACTGATATGTCTAAAGCATTCTAAAAAGCCATCAAAATACACGTTCAGACCGCACCCTGTCCAAGAACCACCAGTTTCCTATACTAAGTAATTATTTTAAAAGATTCAAAACTGTCAATGAACTCTTCTAAGAAGAGTGATTGTGTAGAATCAATTTATAAAATAATGAGATGGAAAAAAGAAAATCTGTCTAGGTTTCTTTACATACATAATGACTTCAATCTTAGCGCACTCAAGTCCAGTCAGAGTCCGAGCCTGGCCCCAGGAAAAAGAGTTCGGAACAACATCACCGTGAACTCAGACCACCCTGACACGGAGCACACATGCTATACTTTGACTTGCTTCCCCTTACCTATAAGAACACGAGGGTTTAGAGCTCTCTGCTGAGGCTAATTAGAAAAAACAATTGAAAAAGTAAAGCTGAAGCCAGAAATTTTCATCTCAATATATTTTGTTTGGTTTGTCTCTGCTTTTTTGAGTGTAGAGGGGACAACTGGGTAGAGAGGGAGAAGCAAATGTGACAGCAGTGTGTTGTGTCCTCACATCCTGCTGGCACGAACCCACCCTGAAGAGTGCTGTACCTTGAGGGGGGATGGGCACATCTGCACAGTCGGGGTGAGGGAACTACCATTACCTAGGGCATCTTTTATCTCCAGAATCTTATCTTGCACCACCACAATGAAACAATACCCTTATCCTTAGTTCACAAAAGGATCCTCAAAGAGAGAATCCTGTAACAGCAGTGCTGGGAGTTACCCAATCCCAGGCAGTCACATAAGGTAAACAGCACCCACACTGCTCACCTGTCTTACTTGCCCTATCTTTCTTGTTTCCTATAGCAAAGGCAAAAAAAATTCCTCAAAAACTTTGACCAGCAACATTTCCCTCAACCTACTTCTCTCCCCCAAGACCTTAAGCTCTCCAGTCATTTGCTCCCTTGGAAGAAGGTTCTTCTGGAACACAAACTTGGCCAATGGCTTGACTTTACTGTGTGATTAAGGAGAAGTATATGGAACTGAAGAACAGTGAGAAAAACACCCATCAAAAACATCAACTTGACTATACTGGGGTATCCCATCTTGGAAGGAAAGCTAGGACTAGACTGTAGTAGATGTACTTAGTTTTTAGGAAGAAGAAAGCTTGCAGGGATAGATAAACCACTGGGAATATTTTTAAAAAGAAAACAGAAAAAAAAAAAAAAAAAACTGTAGAGAAAAAGCTCCACAAAACTTCTGGTGAGGGGAGGTCATATACAAAACCCCAGGGCTAAGATCATCAGGGAACAGTTCATTCCGTGACTCGCTGACGGGCAAACCTTCATTCCCTCACCCTAACACCCGCCCAGGACAATGCTACCCCCACAGTAGGTTCTTAGGTGCCCAAGGTGCTGGGTTCAATATTCTTTAGGAAGCTGTGGGTACATCAGATTTCTTAGTGCTGAAAGCTCAAGGAAGGGTCTTCTCAAATATAATAATTACTTTTATGCTTAAAATTCTATACTAACTTTACAAATACATGTATGATAATATATAGCATGTTTCTCAGGCACCTATCCTCGGAGGCTGGAGGACACATTTTTCCAAAATGTAGAAAACAGAGAAGGGCAGAGAGAGAATGATCCATGAAACTGGAGCTTGAACTCTGGACAAAGGTCACATGAAAATGGCTTTCCCTGAGATGTGGGACCCCTCCATGACTCCTGGCCCCCTGTCCCTCTGGTTAATTCCCTCTACATCCTTTTCTGTACCCTCCTCAGGCCAGCTGTAACTCCTTCCTAGGTAGGAGAACTCAGAGTCTCCTCTGAGAGTCCAGGATGGATGCCCCTATTCCCACAGCACTTTCATCACATCTCTCTGCAGAGACTATACAATGTCTGGCCCATGGGCACAAAAGATGACACAGCCACAAAGGAAACTTACATTGTTAGGCTGCACACTAATCCAAGTAGTGCCAACACCAGGAACAAAGTTAGCTGTACACGGAGGTACCCTAGAGCACCAAAGCAAACTAACAGGGTTAGCACAGGATACTTTAAAATTTTGGAGAAAACAAAACATCACCTGTCCAGCACTCTGAGAACCTTTAACTCACAGTTGTTCATGGTTTCAACATTTGGTCATGCTGTATTTTTCTCAGTGATCGTGTATCTTTGATGAAGTGGTGAGCAGTTGGTAACTGAAGATAAAACCCTAAACCAATCCAGAAACATAACTAAGGATGGTCATGTTCAATCTATTTCAAACGTTTGAGAAACTATGCAGTACCTAGTAAGTCCACACATCCAACGAATAATTATGGCTTTTAAGAAATAAAATGAAAATACTTTCATTTTAAGTTGATAAGCATCAATTTTCCAGACTGCTACCAAAGTGCCAGATCATGAGTAGATATTAAACTGTTCAGATTTAGCTACTTCATAAAAAAACTGTTTGGTAATTCTTTCAACTGGGGGCACTGTGAAAACATCAGTGACACACATAAGGACATCAACCAGGAAAGTCTGGGAACCTGAGGTTGAGGACAGCTTGACTGCTTAAGGATCCCACTGTATCAGACTTTAATCTGCATTCTGAGTACAGGAAACTATTGAAATTCAACTTTTGCTATGTTATAAAACATGTCTAATACTGTGAAAACTGCAGGATATCCACTCATCAGAAGTACTTTTTGGTCTATTAATCAAAAAGAATATTTTTGTCAACATTTTGTCTTAATTTCTTTGCATTTTCTGGGAAATTCTTTAAACACAACATCCTTCAGATTGATTTTCAGAATCCTCCATGTTAGACTTGCTAATCTTCACTACAGTGAGAACT